ACTGCATCATCAAGCCGAAATGAAAAGGTTAAGAAATCAACGATGTATATACCAATAACCGACATGGCAGAGAATCTTGACGTTATAAAGGCCGTGGCTGACCTCAAACTTACCATTTCACTTGGGCAACTATTTAAATGGTCGCCCAAGGTGAGAAGTGAAATAATGAAAGCGTTAACACGCAAAAAGAAGGAAATCGATGTAACTAACGTTGATGTAAGGTTGCGTTTAGTTAAAGGTAGTAAAATGCGAGAAACTATGAATGAAATAGTACCTATTTGGCCCGCGTTAATAAATGGCGATCTTGTTGATGTACCAATTGACCCCGGATCTCGTCTGAATCTGATGCACATAAATTATGCAAAGAAAAGAGGGTTGACCTGGGAACATGCTTACGGAAAAGGAAGAATGGCCGATGATAGAATAAGTGAATTCATAGGTTACATACCTCAAGTCAAAGTGGAAATGGAAGGCGTGGTGACGAACCAAGGATTTTACATAATGGAGTCCGCAAGTTTTGATGTCCTCTTAGGAATGCCTTGGCTGGCCTCTGCGTAATGTAATCTTTACTGGAAAAAGAACGAATACTGGTGCTTGATTTCATCGTCGGATAGACAATCATCGTTCATTGTTTCGGTTGTGCCACAGAACTGGGTTGAAAAGAATGAAGATAAAGATGATGAATCGGACGACTATGATGATGAGGACGATGAGATAAATCAAGTAACAGCTGTAAGAAGGTTCCAAATAATCGATCATGACCGGCAAACGCTGATAAAGAACGAAGAAAAGGGAGACCATGGAAATTGGGATGAAGCACGTGATTTGCAGTTACGAAAAATCGAAGGACAACTAGAATTGACGGAGCCGATGTTCTTACGAAGATTGACGTGGGAAAATATCCACTTATTGAATTTTGGGCCTGATCTCTTGTCAGAAGAAAAGCAGTATGTAATGAGCCGGTTGATAAATGAGGTATCAAAAACGTTCGCCTTCAAATTGTCAGAATTGGGCCGAACCAATTTAGTGAAATACGAGGTGAGGACAGGTGATATGGAAGTGCCACATATGAGATTAAGGCCGGTGAGAATAAATAATCCAGAAAAGGCGCTGTTATTTGAAGAACATTTAAAGGAAATGATCCAATACGGTTTGTTGGAAGAAGGAAATGGACCCTATGCCTACCATTGCTTTCCGATAGATAAAAAGGAAGGTAGAACCGATAGAATACGAACTGTGAGCATCATGAGACCATTGAATAAGCACATAATAAAGGATGGTTACCCACTCCCAATCATTAGAGATATACTAGAAAAGGCTGTAGACCACAAATGGTATTCAAGTGTCAACGCCTTCAAGAGATATTGGCAAATTCGAATATGTGAAAAAGACCGAGATAAGGTGGCTGTGTCAATGACGTTGGGGGTTCTACGATACACCGTGATGTGCATGGGATTGAAAAACGCCAGTAAAACTTTCCAGCGGTTGATGGATTTGGTTCTTAAAGAGAACGAATGGAAAGGTATAGCCGCAGCGTATCAAGACGACGTGGGTCTTTGGACTGATGGTGATTTGGAAGAACACATTGATGTGTTCATAAAGCTGGCAAAAACATTCGAAAAAGCCGGGTTAACATTTGCTGCAAAAAAATGTTATGTCGGTTATAAGAAATTAAGTATGTATGGGTTCATAGTAAGTAAAAGTGGCATAAAGGTGGACAAAAAGGGATTAAAAAGGATACAACATTGGCCCGAACCGAGTAATCCAAGCGAAGTAAGGTTGTTCCATGGGACGGTAGGATATTATCGTCGTTTCATAAGAAACTTCAGTAAGATCGCCGGACCAATAACCGATTTAATGAAGAAAGATTGTAAGTTTGTATGGGGAAAGGAACAAAAAGATTCATTTGAGACACTGAAAAGGATGCTCTTAGAGGAGGTTGTGTTAAAAGGACCAGATTGAGAAGGAGTGAAGAAGGGACAAAGACCATACCAATTGTACACAGACGTGTGCGACGTTTCTGTCGGAGCTGTCTTAGAACAAGACGATGGTGATGGAAATTTAAGACCGCTAACCTTCGATTCTAGAAAATTGAACAAGCATGAGTTGAACTACACAGTCACAGAAAAGGAATGTTTAGCGATCATTTTTGGATGTAATGTAAATGAACGCTATGTTGGAGGAACGATTTTTAATGTTTGGGTCGACCACCAAGCGCTCGAATGGCTATTCAATAAAGCTGAGCTGAAAGAAAGGTTGATGCATTGGGTTCTGGCGTTACAAGCCTTCAAGTTTAAGGTGTGCTACAAAAATGGGAAAAGACATGGAAATGCTGACAGATTGTCAAGATATCCGAAAGAAAGCATGAATGAAACAGTGGAAGACGAGGAATTTGTCGATGGAATGATTATGCGAGTCGACATGATCAATAACAAAGTAAAAGATCTGTTGTGGATAAAGAATTACTTGGAAAACTTTGCGTGGCCCCGTGATGTAAAAGAAATCGACTTACCACATCTACAGTGCAAAATGAAGCGATATTGTGTCATCAGAGACAACTTGTACAAGAGATCGAAGGATGGTGTTCCACCGAAGCGTGTTATCTTCGATAATCGAGAGAAATACGATATTTTAGCGGCAAATCATATAGGAACTGCGGAAGAAGAAGGACATCACGGCATTAATGGGACCGCAAGAAAGGTGTTGATGAATTACAGTTGGGGATCTGGAAATGTATATAACGATGCTGCAAAATATGTTAAATCATGTATTGAATGTCAAAAATGTGCTACTATACACTTATTAGCAATTATGTGGGAGTTAAGAGAGCAACCAGGACATATTTGTGATTAAATAGATAAAAGAGAATAAAGGTGAATAAATTATAATTCAATATGTGTTACGTAGTTAGACAGTAACCGTGGTCACTATTATCTTGCTCAAACGGTACTTCAACTTTAGATCTCGCTTGGCTTCAACACACCTTCTAGCCAACACTTTACAGGTAAGGATAACACACACTTTATTACGTTATTCACTTTAACCAGTCAAAAAACTGACTTTCGCTTTTTATTTATTTCTTCTATTTATATTAATTTTCCATTATACTATTTTGTACAACTCTGATTATTAATATACTATGACTCACTTCCTTATACTTTACATTGTATCTCTTAAATTTTACTAATTTAATCGTCATTGACTCGTGATCGATGATCATGGTTCCCCACATACCCGATCTTCATAATGCCACCCAACATCACCACGTCGATCATAATTTCGGTCAATGCCATCGTCACGTGTTATGTTCGTTACATCTTTCGCTCTACCATTTCGGTCCTTATTAACCGCTTTATTACATGCTTCATTATCGATTAACATTCCTCATACTAAGTACAAGGGTTCTCCAAAAACTATGCGATAGGAGCTGGACCCCCATGGGTCCTCGTCCTCAAGACCCACTTCATCTTCGCTCACTTGTTCACTATTTTGTTCCAAAGATCCTTCATTCCAGGTAAATAGTTTTTTTACCCTATTTCTTGTTATCGAATCACGCAATTCATTATCATCCAACTCATTTACATACACTTGACCATGCCTTCCAATTTTTCAAACTTTATAGGGTCCTATCCATCGATAGTCAAGTTTTCGGGGTGATGTCTCTAACGTTGAATCGTATACTAACACCAAGTCACCAACAAGGTATGTTTCCTTTACTTTTGCCTTTCGATCATGTATTTCTTTCCACTTTTGCCTAATTTCATCCTTTTCTAACTGCGCGTTTCTTAAATCTTCTCCCATTTCTTTTATTTGCTTCATTCGATACTCCAATAATTCGTCAGTTGTCCTTTCTTTTCTTGTGTTGTAAGCCTGGTACCTTTCTAACATCAACTG